AGGGGCTGGGTGTGTCTGTGGTGAGGAGGGGAACAGCCGGCTCCCTCTCCCCGTTCTGCAGGGCTGGATGAACCAGCTGCACGCGTACGACCCCGAGCTCTTCCACCCGTCCCTCACGCACTCGGTGCTCGCCGTGCTGGACGGGGCCACCCTCAAGCTGTCCTACCCCAAGAGCAACATCCCGCGCCGGGCCACCTTCGAGGAGGAGATCCTGGACGCCGTGTTCGTCAGCCACCGCTGCTACGACCTGACAGACGCCAAGGTGAGCCCGGGGGTCCCCAGGAGCCTCCTTCCCACGGGGGACCCCCCAGCCTGGCCCGGGGCTCTCGGTGCTGCATGTCTCCCTGTGCCCCTCCAACCTGGTTTGGGCTCACCCCGCTCTCGGTGCCGCAGGTGTTCCTGTGCCCCCCCAGCCTGGCCCGAAAGCGGACGTGGAACAAGAAATATCCCATCTGCGTGCTGCTGCCCGAGGCGGCCGAGGCAGAGGGCAGCGAGGAGCAGGGGGACACGGAGCCGCAGGGGGACGAGGGCAGCAGGAAGGTGCCGCTGGCCGGGCAGGACAGCCCGGGGGAGAGCAGGGACAGGTGCCTGTACCTGTTTGGGAGGACGGGGCGGGAGAAGGAGGAGTGGTACCAGCACCTCGTGCAAGCCTCCCGTGGGACAGCCAGCGGCCACGGTGACACCAGGGCAGGTGAGGGGCAGCCACCAGGGCTGAGCCAGGAGCACAATGCCTTGGTGGGCAGCAGGGAGTGTGGAGGGACGGGGAGGAGCCCAAAGTGTAGCCAAGAGGGTTCAGATGGTCAGCACAGGGTGGGTGGCATGCCACTGGTGTCATGGACAGGCATCATGTCACCCCCGATGCCATCTGACTGGACAGACTGGATATTAGTGAAAATTGGATATTAGCGAATATTGGATATTAGTGAATATTGGGTATTAGTGAATATTGGGATTGGGAACATTTCTTTCACTGAAAGGGCTGTCCAGGCCTGGGGCAGGCGTGGAGTGCCCATCCCTGGAGGGGGTTAAAGCCATGTGGATGTGGCACTTGGGGACACGGGTTGGTGCTGGCCTGGGCGGTGCTGGGGAGTGGATTGATGGCATTAGAGGGGTTTTCCAAGCTCTGTGATTCCTCATCCCCAGGCACAGGATGGGCTCCTCAGAGCAGCGGCAGCAGCAGCGGGGGCAGCACTGAGGACATCCCATCCACGGATCCCTCCAGGGACGTGTCAGGGAGCACTGAGGAGATTTACCTGGACTACAGCACCTACATGGCCCGATTTGTGCCAGCACAGGGGGCAGCCAGCCCGGAGAGGAGCCCCTCTCATGGAGCTCTGGGCAGCCCCACGCCCACAAAGGTGAGAGGGACAAACGAAGCACTGGGAGCGGGGCTGGAGGCTGATGGAGCCACGCTTCCAGTGTGTGGTTTGTTTGAGCAGCCAAGCCCTGGGGCAGGGAGCACAGACAGCAGGTCCCACTGCTCACAGAGCCACCTCTCTGCAGGGGCTGGTGGCTGCTGTCCCCTCCCAGGAGGACACGGCCAGCATGGCCTGGATGAACGCCCTGGTGGGACGCATCTTCTGGGACTTCCTGAGGGAGCAGTACTGGGCAGAGCAGGTGTCCAACAAGATCCAGAAGAAGCTGAGCAAGATCAAGGTGAGAGGCAGGAGCATCACTCAGGGAGCCCTGTTCCCAAGGCCCCACGGTGAGTGGTGACTGTCCCCATGGGGGATTCCCTCCATCAGCTCCCGTATTTCATGAACGAGCTGACGCTGACAGAGCTGGACATGGGCACATCCATCCCCTCAGTGCTCGGTGCCTCCAGCCCCACCATCAATGAGCGAGGTAAGAGCCCCACAGAGGCACGGGGACCCCAGTGCTGCCTCCGGGATGGCTTTGCAGAGCTGCCGGCCCAGAGCTGGGAGGGCTTGGCAGTGCCCAAGCAGCTCTGACCCCTGTGGTGCTGACCTGATCTCACCCTGTCCCTCTCCCTGGCAGGGCTCTGGGTGGACTTGGAGGTCACCTACAGCGGCTCCTTGCAGATGACACTGGAGACAAAGATGAACCTCAGCAAGCTGGGGAAGGAGAGCTCTGCAGAGGAGAGCGGCCCTGCAGAGGCAGGCAGAGAGGGGTAAGGAACCTGCCCGTGGGTGGGCTCACCCTGCTCCTCCCGCCCCAGCGAGGCGAGGCCGCTGTCCCCGAGCGGGCTGTGACCTCCTGGGCTGGCAGGGCCCGGCCACGGCTGATCCTGCTGGCAGACAGCGACGCCGAGTCCTCCAGCGCCGGCTCCTCCGACGAGGACGATGCCACCGGTGCGGAGCCCGTGGGAGCCCCGGGGGAGCGGCTGCCCCCGCCCGGCACCGAGGGGTACGGGGGTGCTGGGGGTCTGTCTGGGGGTCTGTCTGTGCCACGGGGGGCTCGGCGAGGGGATGGGGGCGCACAGTGCCACAGCAGCACAGGGGCATGGGGATGGTGTCCATGGCAGGACACACACAGCACATTGTGGCAGCTTCCAAAGGGGACTCTGCCCCCGTCCTCTGTCCCTCTCTGTGCTGTGGCAGAGGGCTGGAGGACCCCCAAACCCAGCAGGGCTGAGCTGGGACCCCCCCTTGCTTTAGGCATGTCAGTGGGAACAGCACGAGCAGGAGGATCCTGCGCTTCGTGGATAAGATTGCCAAGTCCAAGTACTTCCAGAAGGCCACGGAGAACGAGTTCATCAAGAAGAAGATGGAGGAGGTGTCCAACACGCCGCTGCTGCTGACGGTGGAGGTGCAGGAGCTGGCAGGAACCCTGGCCGTGAACATCCCCCCGCCACCCACCGACCGTGTCTGGTACCAGCTCTCCTTCCCCTCATCACATCCTGCTGCCAGCGCCTCTTGCTCCCTGCAAGGAGCCAGCCCCAGGGCTGTGGGCTCATCTTGGCACCAACAACCCAAAGCTGCTCCCCAAAGGGGCTCACATCCCACTGCCAGCGCCCCTTGCTCCCTGCAAGGAGCCATTCCAGGGCTCTGGGCTCATCCTGGCACCAACAGCCCCAGGTTCCTCTGGGTCTGCACCCAGGCCAGCACAAATCTGGGCACCCTGAGCTGTCATCTCCTCCCTAAACCCAGCAGTGGCTGTGCCACACCTGTGATGCAGGTGATGCTTTCTGCCTGTTTGCTCTCCCTTCACAGGTACAGCTTCCGAGTGCCCCCGCAGCTGGAGCTGAGGGTGCGCCCCAAGCTGGGCGAGCGGGAGGTGACATTCCTGCACGTCACTGAGTGGATCGAGAAGAAGCTGAAGCACGAGTTCCAGGTGCCTGGGCTGCTGGTCAGGGCCTCTGCAAGCCCTGCTGAGCCTTGGGCATTGCTGCCATCGGGGAGAGGCAGCCTCAGTTGGGGCCAGTTGTTTCTGCAAAAAGCCAGCACTGGTCTGGTCTGGCCAGCTTGGAGCAGTGATGATACAGAACACAAATAACAAGCTCAAGGGCTGAGGGAAAGTGATTTCCTCCCATCATTTGCAGCCCTGCCCCAAGCAGGGAGGGTTCAGCCCCAGAAGGGTTGAATCCACCTGTCCATTCTGGTTTGGGGATGTTTGGGAGATTTGCCTTCCCAAGGGTTTGTGTCCAGCCTCTCACCTCTGCTCTAAAAGCAGAAATGTCCCCACAGATATTTAGGGCCCCCCAAAAGCCACCCATCTGGATGGTTTCAAAATGCTGGTCCCTCCCCTCTGCTGTGGCCAATCCTGCAGCCATTGAGGTGGCCAGGGCAAAGAAAAACTGTCCCTGCTTGTCCCCACCCTGATACCCAGAGCTGGGACCCTCCTGGGGCTGCTGCTGTGGGGTGGGAGCCCAGAACCTCCAGTTTATCCCCACGTGGCTCCTGCCATCCACCTCCAGGAGTGTCCCCGTGCTGTTCAAACCCACTGATTTGTTACTCTGAATTCCTCTTTGCAGAAAATCCTGGTGATGCCAAACATGGACGATCTCATCATGCCCATCATGCGCTCTGGCCTGGATCCTTGGCCCCCCAGCCCGGGACCGCCCCAGGATCCACCAGCCACGGGGGACAGGAGGCTCTGAAGCACAACCCAGGGGCAGGGACACTGCCCAGAGCTCAGGGACCTTGCTGGGACATGGGACAGCCAGGCGTGGCCGCTGCCTGCAGCCAGGGCTGTGCCTGGATTCATCCTCACGCTCTGCTTGTGCAGATGAGCCTCCTCAGATCCTGCAAGCACACGTTCAGGGCACAGCCAGGCTGCTGGAGACCCAGGGATTCCACGGCCACGCTCCAGGACTCCTGGTCAAGCAGGCAGCTCGGGGCAGGGGAGGGCTGGGCTTCCCACTGTCTGCTTCCAAAGAGGGTGCAGGACACCTGGATCACGGCACTGAAGGAGTTGGGATCATTGCTGATCCAGAATTCCCAGCTCTGGGGCATGCCCTCTCCCCACAGGCAGCTGGGCTGCAAGGACAGCATGGGTGGGAAAGGCTCCCAGGTGAATAAATCCATCTCTGCCCAGCCCTGCCTGGCAGCCCTCTTGTTGTGCACAATTCCCACCTCTGCCGGGGTCCCAGCCACGATCAGGGGGCTTTGAGCAGGAGAAGCCCCCAGGTTGCACCTTCAGCTTGGCAAAAGCAGTGCTGGAGGTGTATGGGAGAGGCAGGAGGAGACAGGCAGGGAGCCTGGGCAGAGCCAGGCCATGGGCTGGCCCAGTATTCTCAATGGAAACTGGGGCAGAAGTGCTGGAACATGCTCTTCTCTCTGCTGGATGAGAGGGAGGATACTTCGTGGTGATTTGGGTGAGAGGGAAAAATTCACTGGGAAGAAAGGAAAGGGAGGATCCAGAGGGCAGAGCTGGCACTTGGCTGTCCCAGTTAGTCCCCATCCACGTGGGCCAGTCCCAAATGCCACTTTTCCCATCCCCATTGCTGAGGAGCCTGAGAACAGGCAGGAAGGCAGGACACCCCTCCAGAAGGAGAGGGGAGCAGGCATGGCTTGGAGCCCCTTTATTGCAAATGCCCAGCAGGCAGCCTTGGATCTCTGTCCTCAGAGCTCTTCCTGCACACCTGGCTTCTCCTTCACCAAATGTTTCTTCTGGGGGCCCTGGAAGAGAGCAGAGAGGAGAGTTTGGATTTAGGGACACACAGACCTGGCCTGCATGGCTGTGTCTGGGCTGTGGCAGCCAGAAAGGCAGCTCAAGCCGTCAGCTGAAAAATGGAATTATCCCACAGCAAATCAATCCTATGGGAGCAGGTGGCAGGAATTACTTATGTCCCTCAACTTCCAGACAAATGTGATGTTTTACCACAGAGTCCATGGGGCAAAATGGCAAAGGAAAGAGCTGCAGCCAGGTCAGACCTCCTCCTGTCACAGCAGCTCAGGCTGGCAGTGACACAACACGCTCCTGACACTGAGCTGAAGGAAATCAGCTTAACCTCTAAAGAGCTCTGCAAAGGCAGTGCCTCACCAATCCCCCTGGCAGCTCTAAGGAGGCTTAGCCAGCTTCACATGGCATTTCTGGCTGACAGGCCACAGCCAGACCCAGTTTACATCTGCGTGGGACACACACACTTGTTTCTTTCCCTTCTCCTTCTCCCTCTCCTGGTTTACTCAGTGCTTCCTCCGCTTCAGACTCAGACTCACCCCAGCCTGGTGAAGGTGCAAAACTATTCAGGAAACTGCTGTGTTTGGATTATTTAATTATATTATTTTTTTGCCCTGGATTTAAGAAAAATACACTGCTTGGCCTTCTTGAAAGCTTCTGACAAAAGCACCATGAATCTGCATCTGAATTTGACCCAAACTTTTTTTCCTCTGAGAACATTAAAGCTATAAATCATTCCAAACAAATCAAAGCAGTGCACAATTCTGAGTGAAAGGCACCATATGGCCAAGACAGTGCCTGCCAAGTTAACTGCTTGTTTAAAACTTCCCATGGTGAATGGGAACTGGTTGCCCATATGGTCTTTTATTTGCTGGTTGAGTTGTCTTGGATCACTCACACAACCATCCTGTTCTTCCTCAGCATCATTTCTGCTGTGTGAACGGAATTCATGGCTGCCTTTAGGCAAGAGAGCCTCAAATGTTCACTTGGCTGTTGTTGTGTTGATGAACACACCACAGAATCATGGAATCATAGAATCCTGGGATGGTTTGGGTCGGAAGGGACATGAAACTCATCCAGTTCCACCTCCCTGCCCATGGAAGATGCTTGGTTGGAGTCAGACAGTGGCAGCCTGAGGAACTCACCATGAAAGCTCTCTTCTCCTGAGCCGTCTGGAAGCGGCCGTGGCCGAATTTGGAAGTGGTGTCGATGAATTTGAGCTCGATGGCTTCGTGGGCCCGGCGGCTCGTGTGCACCAGCAGGGACTGGGAAAGAACAGTCACAGCAGCAGGGGAAGTGTCACAGAACAGCTGGTCTCATGGAAGCAGGGCTGGAATATCCTCTAAACAAACATCCCCTCAAAAATCTGTGCTCTTAGAGCGACACCCTGGGGCTCAGGTGGGGGAGAGCTTCCAGAGCTGCTCTTTGCTCAGCATTGCACAGAATCACAGAATCAGCCAGGCTGGAAAAACCTCTGAGATCACCAAGTCCAACCTATGACCTGACCTTGTCACCCAGACCATGGCAGTGAGTGCCACATCTGTCCTTAAACACCAGGGACTCCCATCCCATCCCTGGGCAGCCCATTCCAGTGCCCACTCACCTTTCTGTGACAACCCAAGGTTTCATTTCTGGAATGAACTGCAGCCCTCAGAGCTCTCTGTCCTTAAACACCAGGGACTCCACCACCCCATCCCTGGCCAGCCCATTCCAATGCTCACTCACCTTTCTGTAACAACCCAAGGTTTCATTTCTGGAATGAACCACAGCCCTCAGAGCTCTCCAGCTCCATCCACCTGCTGACACTGCACCAAGGACCTGCCCAGTGTCCCTGCCCAGCACTTGGAGGGTTCTCCATGTGGGGAATGTGCTCCTGGGGAGCTGCAGCCCATCCCAGGTGCTCTCACCTTGCGCAGGGTGAGCACGCGCTTCCTGGTGCCCACCACGCAGCCCTTCAGCATAAGGAAATCGTTGTTGACCTCCCCATAGTGAGGGAAGCCACCCTGTGGGGAGAGCAGAGGGGTGGGTGGGCAGGAGAGCTGGCTGGGAGGGTCAGGAGGGCACGGCCCTGTCACCCCTCAGCCCTCACCATGGGTGTGATGGTCTTCTCAGTGATATCATAGTGCGTCGAGGCGTTGTTCCTCACCACCTTGCCATCCTCCACGTGGATCCCGTGGCCAATGCGGTAAATCTGGGAACACACAGGCAGTGGGGATGGAGGCTCTCCTGCCCCTTGCTGAGGAGCCTTACAGGGTGCCAGAATCCCCCACGGAACCACGTGGTTTTTGTTGTCATTATATCGCAGAAGCTCTATTATCAGTACATTGCAAGGGTTCCATATCGCTAGAGTTTCCTACTCCTTGATGTTTCTTGTAGGCAGCTCCTCCAGGCACTGACCCTGCCTTGTCCTCACAGGAGCCAATTGACTCCAGTTCTCAGTTCCGCCTCAGCCAACCAATCCACTCCTTTATAACACTCTTCTTATTGGCTAGAGGTGTGGCCTGTTAACATCAGGCCTGCTCCTAATCTTTAATAATTGGTTCAGCTGCAACTCTTTAGGGGATAAGATTACATGCTATACCGCCTTCATTTACCCATACTGAATTCCCCTACAGGTTTTCACCATGGCGTGCCCTTGATCAGCAGGAAATCACCAGGAAGGCCATGGAGATGTCCAGGGGAACATCCATGAGGATGCAGGGAGCTGAGGGCAGCGTGGGGAGGAGGGTGTGACAGGATGGAGCCCCCTGGCCATACCTTCTTGTTGATCTCGGTGCGGTGGTGGTAGCCCTTCTGGCCGGCCCTGGCGATGGAGTAGCCCACGCGGGCCGGGTGCCAGGCCCCGATGCAGGCCACCTTCCGCAGGCCCTTGTGCGTCTTCCTGGGCAGCTTCTTGGTGTGCCAGCGGCTGGTCACCCCTGGGGGCGTGGGGACAGTCAGCAGGGCCAGCAGGGAGGGCTGGGGCTGGGGAAGGACAGTCCTGTGGCTCTCCTAAAGGACAGTCTCTGAGGGACAGGCCCATGGCTCTCCTGAGGGACATTCCCTGAGGAACAGTCCTGTGGCGCTCCTGAGGGACAGTTTCATGGCACTTCTGAGGGACATTCTCTGAGGGACAGTTCCATGGTTCTCCTGAGGGACAGTCCCATGGCTCTCCTGCAGTTCTCACAGGAGGCCGTGCTGGGAGGAGATCAGGAGCTATTCTCACTTCCCAGGGCTCTGATCAGACCCATGCACACACCTAGGGATGCCCACACCCCTGCACATGTGGGGTTTATGACATTCACACCATCACAAAATGGTTTGGATTGGAAGGGACCATAAAGACCATTCAGTTCCAACATCTGCCATGGGCAAGGACACCTCCCATTAGACCTGGTTTCTCAATGTACTGACAGTGCCTGTGAGCCTCCTGGGACGAGGGCTTCACTGGCCTTAATCTCCGGGGAAATCCTTCCAACAGAGATTACCTTGTCAGCTCCTCTGTATCTACACCAGAGGTGCCCCTGTTGGATTTTTCCCTTGCTGAGATTAAGGAAACTGAGCCCTGCCACACCAGAACTGGTGTCATGCTTTAGATCCTGAGGCTTTTTGCTACTCCCTCTACAGAAAGTTGGGGGTTCTCAGCCTGGTTAACATTCCCCTACCCCAAAAGCAGCTGCTGGGCAGAGCCCTGTGAGGAGCACAGCCCCACAGCCCTGTACCTTTCATGCCGTGGCCCTTGGTCACGCCGATGACATCGATCATCTCGTTCTGGCTGAAGACACTGTGCACAGAGATCTGCTTCTCCAGCCTCTCCCGCACCCAGTCCACCTTCTCAGCCACCGTGCCCCCGTTCAGCTGGATCTCCATGATGTGGGCCTTCTTCTGCCTCAGGGGGAGCAGCCTCATCTGCAGCACACCGTGCTTTAGGGTGGCTCCTCGCCCCACAGACAGGAGGGTGAAGCAGGGATGGGTCCCTCACAATTCGTGAGGGGCACAGGGGTGAGCAGAGCCACTGCTCCACCTCTCTGCCACAGCCACCCCCTTTCATAGCAGCCCTGGGTCAGCAGCTCTTTATATCTGGGATTTTATGGAGCCAGCCCCTTGTCCTTGTGCCCAGACCCCATCTGGCCTTGAGCCAGCTTAGCTTTCCCCCAGACCCCAAAGCAGCCCTTAACTCCGGGGATCAGCATTAAAATGGGCCCGTGTGTATCCAGCAATCAGCATCTGGCAAAACTGTGCCTGCCCGTGGGGTTATTTTTGCCCAAAACATTTGACACCAGTTGCTAATTTGAGGTGATCATGAGGTCCCTTGCTGACACAGGACTCAGGACCTGCCCAGGCTCTGCCCTGCTCCTGCTCTCCTCCACGTGGTGTGTGGTTCCCATTGGGGTGTGGGGGCTCCCCAGGGATCCCAAACCACAGCCCCCATGGCAGCCCCGGAGCAGAGGACTGGGAGGGCTCTGGGAGCTGGAAAGGTTAGCCAGCACCTCCAATCCCCATCTCACACCCTCTCAGCCCCTGTGACCCCACCAAAACACCCCCTGATCCCATTTCCAGGCCCTTCAGAGCCGAGGAAGCCCCCGAGCCCCCTGCCCATGCCAGGGGGAGGCTCTGACCTGTGTGTGCATAATGACACGGATGACCTTGCAGTACTTCTTCATGGCTGCAAAATCCTTCTCCAGCTGCCTTTTCCCAGCCTCATCCTGCCATTTCTTGCAGTACTTGGTGAACGCCTTCTTCTTGCTCTTGTGCCTAGGGACAGGAGTGGTTTAGCACCCATCAGAGCTGATAAAGGGCTGGTGACACTGCAGAGAGGGGACAGGTCACCCTGGCTGCCACCTCCTCGGAGGCACAAGGAACCTGTGGATACCTGAGCCTCACCTGCCTGTCAGGACCTTGAGGTGGGAAGAGGGAGGTGGATAATGAGCCCTGAAAAAGGCTCCTTCAAGGGTAATTCAAACCTTTCTGCATGAGGAATGCAGCTGTCTCCCACTGACTGACTCAGCACCGTCAGAACAGGCACAAAATCAGAGGCAGGAGAAAGCAGGGACAGAGCCTTGGGGTGGGTGCGTCTCCATGGCACTTAGAGGGGATTCCTGCAGCCAGGAAATCACTTCCCTGCTACCTGTGGGTACCTGAGCCTCACCTGCCTGCCAAGGGTTGGGGTGGGAAGGGGGATGAGCGTGAAAAGGGCTGACAGGAGCAACAGGGATCAGTGTGGTGGGTGGGTCTCCATGGTGCTGTGACAGGAGACACAATTCCTACAGCCAGGAAATTCCCACTTCCCTCTCTGCTGAGGGGTGTTGATATTTATGAGGGCCAGGGGCCACATTCTGCATCAATTTTCCCCCTGGCAAATCTGGTTTCAGTCCAGCTCAAGGATTCTGTTTAACCGGGGAGCCGAGGAGCTACATAAGGGAAAAGGAACCTGCCACACGATATTGTGGAGAGAGCTAACTTGGTTCAGCTATTAGAATAAATTTACATATGCAAACGCTGCTCCCCAGCATCAGGCTGCCTGCAGTGTATCCCTGTGCATGACTAAACAGGCAGTAGGCTCACTCCTCGGGATCTGAGCTGTTTGGAGAGCCTGTGGGATTCCTGCCAGGGATCCCTCACAGGCAGCCCCCCAGGAAAACCCCACTCTGGGGATCCCAGGAGGTTGGAAAAGCCCTCCCAGATCATCCAGTCCGACCTGTGGCTGATCCCCAGCTTATGCCCCAGCCCAGGGCACTGATGCCACGTCCAGGGGTGCCTTGGTCACCTCCACCACCTCCCTGGGCATTCCCAGTGTTTGGTGACCCTTTCTGGGAGCCCATACCAGTTCTTGTAGAAGCGGCGGCGGCACTCATCGCTGATGTGCTCGGCAAAAACGGTCTTGAAATTCCTCAGGCCCTTGGGCGTCTCGATGTAGCCCACGAGCCCCACCACCACCATCGGGGGCGTCTCGATGATGGTCACGGCCTCCACCTCCTCCCGCTTGGACACCTCTGCAGGGCAGCAAAGGGAAGGGGTGCTGGGCATCCTCTGGGATCGCTCCCTGGAGGATTTCCCTGTCACAGAGTGCTGGGGGCGAGGTTGTGTTTGATCTCAGCCAGCCACAGCCTCCCCACATCCCAAACTCACCATCCCAGTGTGCACAGTTCCACACTCAGCCCATGCTGAGCTGGCTTGGACCATGCAAGATGTGGACAGCCAGGATTTAACCCAGAGCTGTGGGCTCCACTGTCACGGACATATTTTATGAAAAATCCTTTTGCTAGGATTTTTTTCTCCTGAGAAGCTGAGAGGTGTCAGAAACGAAATGCAACAATAATTATCTACTGCTGTGGAATGCAACAGGTGCATCTGTGATTGGTCTCATGTGGTTGTTTCTAATTAATGGCCAATCACAGTCCAGCTGTATCGGACTGTCTAGTCAGTAACAAGATTTTATTATCATTCCGTTCATTTCTATTCCTTGCTTGCCTTCTGATGAAATCCTTTCTTCTATTCTTTTAGTATAGTTTTAATATATAATTTTCTTTTAATATAATATATAATATATAATATATAATATATAATATATAATATATAGTATATAATATATAATATATAATATATAATATACAAGATATAAGATATAATATAATTAAAATAATATAATATATTTTATAGTTTAATATATTAAAATATATTTAAAATAAATTAATATATTTTAATATATTTAACATTTTAATATATTTTAATCGATTTTAATATAATATATATATCATAAAATAATAAATCAGCCTTCTGAAACATGGAGTCAAGATTCTCATCCCTTCTCTCATCCTGGGACCCCTGCAAACACCACCACACTCCACCCCCCTTTCCATGAAGAGCCTTTTTTTTCCCAGGAGCCCATTCCCAGTTTCCCTGCCCCTGCAGCCCAGCCTTACTGAGGCCGGGCCGGTGCACCTCGCGCACGGTGTGGGTCATGCCAGCCTTGTAGCCCAGGAAAGCTGTCAGGTGCACCGGTTTGCTGGGGTCATCCTTGGGCCAGGCCTTCACCTTGCCGCGGTGCCGGCGGCTGCGCTTGTGCGGCAGGAAGCCCAGGTGGCCGTGCCTGGGGGCCGAGAACTTGCGGTGGGACTGCGGAGGGGAACACGGAGGGAGATGCGCGCTCAGCTCAGGGAAATGGGGATAAGGGAAACACGGCAGAAACACAACAAAAACACAACAAAAATCCCCCCTTTCAGATGGGAATGGCACGGAGGTTCTGGGCTCTTCACTGAGTCCCAACAGGGCAGGGGTTTGTTCAAGCTTCTGTCACGCACATGGAAAATGACATAGAATATTGGAATGGTTTGGGTCGGAAGGGACCTCAAAACCCATCCAGTGCCACCCCTGCCATGGCAGGGACACTTCCACTGTGCTCCAAGCCCCATCAAGCCTCACCTTGAACACTTCCAGGGATCCAGGGGCAGCCACAGCTGATCTGGGCACCCGTGCCAGGGCCTGCCCACCTCACAGGGAAAGGATTTCTTCCTAACACCCTTTTTAAATCTACTCTCTGTCAGTGAATTTACTAAATTTCTGGACAAATGATGTCACTTAAATAAAAAACTTAACATGAACTCCCTCCTCCAGCTTCTTCTGAAGGACATTGAAGGAGAAGTTTATTCTTTTCTAGGTCTGTCCTTCTCTGCTCTTAATGATAACAATTTATTTTGTATCCTCTAGCACCAAAAAGGCCTGCTTGGAATTCCTGGGCTTCATGTCATCAAGGCAAATGGCACAAAACAAGCACAGCCAAGGATTAGGAAAACAGGGGAAAGGATGCCCAGAGGAACTGGCAACAGGAACATGCACAGGTTCTACAGGCACCTTGAAAGCCAGGTGAGAAGAGATAAACACATAAACCTCAACCACAAGCAGCAAAGGGTTAGTCCTGCACCCACTGCAGCTCCTTTCTAGCTCAGATCAGTGCCAACACCCAGCTGTGCTTTCCACCAAGCTCCTTTTCCAGCCTGAGTGGAGCTCTGAGGATTCTGCCCCATTCCTGTGGCACCACCAGGAGCACAACCCAGCCCTGCTCGCCGACCCTCGCACACTCAGCAGAGCTCTACCAACCATGGGACGTCTTCAGGCCAGGTAGCAGCAGAGAGAGGCCGTCAGGAGGTGCCTCCCCAGATTAATACTTGAGATGGGAATGGGTCTGAAGACACAAATTTAGCCGCTCGCTTCACCCGCCGCGATATTCATTTCATTCCTGGCAGGTTGGACACGACAGTTGTGGTGTGGTAAAGGTCACTTGCTGCTGGCTCAGTTTACGCTGCTCCCTCCTGAACAACTCTGGTGTGAACGGCAGGAATTGGGGCAGTTTCCTGCATTAGGGACAGTTTCCAAAAAGGGTGCCACACACCCAGAGCTGTGAACACCTGCACCAGGTACCCCCAGCACAGGCTGAGAGTCTGTCAGCCCAGGATTGTGAGCCTAGCTAGAAAAGAGATTGAGACAATGCATCTCCGAATCACAGAGCTGTTTGGATTGGAAGGGACCTTAAAAATCATCCAGTGCCAACTCCTGCCGTGGGTGGGACACCTTCCAGGGATGAGCCCCATTCACTCAAGCCGGGGTGTCCCTGTGTGCAGGACCCAATGGCAATGGCACCAGAGCCATGGGCAAGAACCGATCTCAGACAGTTCCACTGGACACGAGGCAGAACTTTATTCCTGTGCAGTGACCGAGCACAGATCCCACAGAGGGCGTGGAGTCTCCCACGCCGGGGATATCCCAAAGCCATCTGCTCCCAGCACTGTGCCATGGGCTGCGGAATGGCCCTGTGAGCAGGGACGGGACAGACGGGATGGCCCTGTGAGGAGTGAGGGGACAGTGGGGACACGCTGTGAGCAGTGAGGGGACAGTCGGGACCCGCTGCGGGCTCTGCCGGCCCGCCCCATGCCGGGCTCCCCTCACGGATGAGGTACACCCGCACTACAACTCCCGGCGTGCCCCGGGGCCACCGCCATATTCCCGCGCCCGGCCCCTCGGGTCGCCGCCATGTTCCCGGGCTCCCGCCCCCTCAGGGGTCGCCGCCATCTTTCGCCGCCGCCGCCGCCGCGATGCCGGAGGATCACGACTGGGAGGCGTACAAGGTGCCTCCGACCCGCACCCCCGTCTCCGAGAGGACCACCTCGGTGCCCAACCCCGTCGACTACTTCCAGAGCGCCTTCAACTATGTCCTCGACTCGCCCGTCACCTTAATCCGAGGTAGCGGCGGGACAAGATACCCTTCCCTGTCCTCCTTCCTTGGGAGCTGAGCAGCGGCGCGGGGACGGGGGATGGGCACACCGGGCACGGGGCAAAGGCGTGAGGACACGGGCACCTGCACAGGCAAAGGGCACGCGCAAGGACACAGGGACACCGGTCCTGTCAGTAACGGTAGAGGGACGGGACACAGGGACAGAGGGACACGGGACATTGACAAGAACACAGCATGGACACAGGGACATGGGACACAGACAAATACATCGCCTGGACAGAGGGACAGCGCAGGTGACATGAGACACAACATGGACACGGGCAGACATGGACAGGGGACACACGGTAGAACACAGCATGGACACAGGGACATAGGACAGACAGGAACACAGCTTGGATAGGACAGACACAGGGACATGGGACACTGCAGACCTGGGAACATGGGACAGACAAGAACACAGCTTGGATAGGACGGGTACAGGGACATGGGACACTGCACAGACTGAAACATGGGACAGACAAGAACACAGCTTGGATAGGACACTCAGGGACATGGGACACTGCACAGACATGGGACACAGACAAGAATACAATATTGGTAGTGGGGCAGGGACATGAGACATGTCATGGACACTGTGACAGATGCAGGAACTTCAGGACACGGCTTGGACACTGGGAGTGTGCAGGGGATACAGGGACACAGTGACACAGGACACAGCACAGAGGGGCAGCCACACAGCTGGGCATGAGCTGGACAGTGTGGAGCCACTGCTGCTGCCAGGGAAGGTGGCACAGGCAGTGCCAGCCCTGTGTGGGCTGTGCTGCCCTCAGAGCGGGGCCAGGTGTGTGACCAGGCTGTCCCTGCAGGCTGGATCGAGCGGTGGCAGAACAGGAACAAGTTCTACTACTACCACCAGAAGTTCCGCCGTGTGCCCGACCTGAGCCAGTGCCTGGAGGGCGACTACCTGTGCTACTATGAGGCTGAGGCTCAGTGGAGGAGGGACAGGTATGGCTGCCCCTGCACTGTCCCCAGCCAGCTCACAGCAGAGCACACAGCCCTGGGCCCTGCAGCGTTTTGGGGGATGCTGGGGTGCTGAGGCACATCAGTGTCCTGCTATCCCTGCAGCACATCTGGGCATGGTGGCATTAGGGACCGGGATGCTGAAAATCCCAGAGCTGACATTCCACAGGGTGTCCTCAGCCCTTGGTTCATCTTTTCTGCCTTGTGGTTCCCACAGGATGGTCGATCAGGAGATCGTGGAGATAGTCCGGGAAAGGGTGGCTGCGTGCAAGCAGAGGGAAGGGCCCAACCAGTTCCAGAACTGTGCCAAGGAGATGGAGCTGCTGGCACAGGTCACCAAGGCCTACCAGGACAGATGTGAGTGTGGCAGCAGCACACAGGGCAAGGGCTCTGAAATCATGTCCCACACTCAGCGTGGAACACTCATGGGAGGCACTGCTCAGGCATCTTTCTTTTTCAGACGGTGAACTGGGTTACCATGGCAATGCACGGACATGCCTGATGAAGCAGAAGCACAGGATGATGGAGGAGAGGAAAGCAGCAGAAAATCCGTGCCCTCCAGGCACTGGCTCAGGTCGGCCCTGACACAGTTCCTCCCTCCGTGGTGCTGGTATCCAAGTGCATGCTGCTTCCTTCACAATAAACAGATCTGTACAGCTGGGCTCTGTATTCATTCTTTGAAGAGATCTGCAAGCCCTCAGCTCCAGGCACTTGGGGCTGCCATTGTTGGGGTTTGCCCTCCTCTCCTCCAGGAGCCATTCTGTGTGCTGCTCTGCCCTGAATTCCCAAGGCCAGGCAGGACAGAGCTTGGAGCAGCATCGTTCAGTGGAAGGTGGAACTGGATGAGCTTCCAGGCCCTTCCCAACCCACCCCAGGTGGTTTAACCCACCTGCCCCAACCCCCATCACACCAAGCACGGATTCCTGGTTCTCTGAGCTCTTTATTGTCCTACAAAAGCCCTTAGGTGGTGGCCACAGCGGCTGCCTGGGTCCTCTGCACCGACACTCTGGTGTGGGTCTTGGCCAGATGATCAGTGAACTCCTGCAAGAAACACCAACGGGGTTATTCCCCCAGACCCGTCACGGGTTCCTCAGCACCACTCCCATCCCTCATGTGCACTGGGGCTGGGGTGGCTCAACTTTATAGCTCCCAAACCTTTGGGTACAGAAATCTGAATTTTAGGGGCAATTTTGAGCTCTAAGTTACCAAAACGCTCTTACCTGGTAGGGAGACTTGGTGAAGACAGTCTCTTTCCAGAGGTCAGGAGTCAGGTAGCTGTAGGTTTTGGAGATGGCATCGAAGGTGGCTTTAGCTGCAGAGAGATGTCACACACTGTCACACAGTGCCCGCCAACGGCTGCAGAACCACCCCGCTGATCAACCCACAGCTCCAAAATATCCCCCAGTTACTAAAATGTAGAACTTTGAAAGGATCAGGGAGACCAGGGAGGGCCTCTCTGATGAACCCAACAAAGCTCAGGTTGCTCTCTCTCTCCAGTTACGACGATTACACCACGGCACACAAGTGCAATCGCGCAGATTGGGAGATCCAGGAGTGTTGAACCCCACAATTCTGTCACCAGCTCTGACAGAACCTGCAGCAGCACTGACTGCACTGGCAGCACAAATGGAGCTGCTGTGCCCCATGGGTGACAGAACTGTCCCTGAGCCCTGTGGCAGCCCCAGAGCTCACCAAAGTTGCCAAGGGTGGCCGTGCAGCCCCGCGCTGACGTGTAGCAGTCATCGATGCCGGCCATCATCAGCAGCTTCTTGGGGACAGGGGCGGACACGATCCCGGTGCCGCGGGGAGCCGGGATCAGGCGCACCAGCACGGAGCCACAGCGCCCAGTGACCTGCGGGGACACAGCGGGGTCAGCCCCGAGCAGAGGGACACAGCGGGGTCAGCCCCAGAGCAGAGGGACACAGCGGGGTCAGCCCCGAGCAGAGGGACACAGCGGGGTCAGCCCCAGAGCAGAGGGACACAGCGGGGTCAGCCCCGAGCAGAGGGACACAGCGGGGTCAGCCCCGAGCAGAGGGACACAGCGGGGTCAGCCCCGAGCAGAGGGACACAGTGGGGTCAGCCCCGAGCAGAGGGACACAGCGGGGTCAGCCCCAGAGCAGAGGGACACAGTGGGGTCAGCCCCAGAGCACAGCCCTGAGCAGCCCCAGAGCCAGGCGAGCAGGACTCTCACCTTGCAGGGCACCGTGTGTGGCTTCCCGATCTTGTTGCCCCAGTAGCCGCGCCGCACGGGCACGATGGACAGCTTGGCCAGGATGATGGCCCCGCGGATGGCCGTGGCCACCTCCTTGGAGCACTTCACCCCCAGCCCCACGTGGCCGTTGTAGTCCCCGATGGCGACAAAGGCCTGCAGCACAAGAGGAGTTTTCAGTGCTCCAGCCAGGGCTATGCATGGTGGTGTGTGCCCAGCAGGAACTCACAGCTCACCCCCAAACCTCACACACAGCTCTCAAAACCCGTTTCTCCCCTCAGAGTTCATCCTGCAGGCAGAACCAGCCAGGCACTAGAACTCAATTCCTTGCTGCAGCCTCACTATGGTCAGAACTCCCCATGACTTCACAACAGCATTCCCTGCTTATACCCAAAACTTCTCCCTGAAAACCCACTTGCACCGCTGTGCAAGAACAACTGAATTTTGCAGTGCCAGCAGAGTTTGTTTAAAAGTTTCCAAGTCTTGCAGCCCAACTTTTTGGGCCAGTGTTGCTTCAAGAAACACCTGCACACATCAGCAATGTTTTAAAGTTAATACATTTAACGAATTACTAATGGTCCTCACAATAAAATACTTTTATGCTAGATGTGACAGTAGAAGAAATCTAGAGTGATTAAAATGGCTCTGAAAGTGCAGAAAGGGAAGTTGTGAGCAGGAGGATCCAGAAAAAGGGGATTACCTTGAACCTGGTGCGCTGCCCAGCACGGGTCTGTTTCTGCACAGGCATAATCTTCAGCACCTCATCCTTCAGCGAGGAGCCCAGGAAGAAATCGATGATCTCCGACTCCTGCAAGAGTCAGCACTGAGCACACAGGAATCACGGAATCCTGGGATGGTTTGGGTTGTGGGGGACCTCAAAGATCAGCTTATCCAACCCCCTCCCAAGGGCAGGGACATCTACCACTATCCCAGGGTGCTCCAAGCCCCATCCAACCTGGCCTTGGACACTTCCAGGGATTCAGGGACAGCCACAGCTTCTCTGGGAATCTGTGCCAGGGCCTCACCACTTTTACAAGAAACACTTCCTTCCCAATATCCCATTCTAGGTCCCTCTCCAGCTCTACTGGAGCCCCTTTAGGCTCTGAGGTGTCCCCAGAACCTTCCCTTCCCCAGGTGAACAACCCCTGCTCTCCCTGCCTGGCTCCCCCCTCTTGGAGCATCTCCCTGACCCACCACTTCCATGTCCACAGCAACTCACCTTGATGGGAAGCGAGAAGAGATATATCTCCTCAAGAGACTTGATCTTCATATCCTTGACCAGGCGGCCGAGTTTGGTGACGGGAATCCACTGGCAGAGAAACCCACGGACAAAAGTCACCAGGTGCCATCACCGGCCGGGGCCCGGCTCTGCTGCCCCATCCCGGGGGCTGGCAGCGGCCCCGTCCCCGCTCCCCACTCACCTCCTTATCCTCGGCTTTCCCTCCGCGGGCTCCGCGGCCTCTCCCACGGCCTCTCCCGCGGCCGCGGCCGCGGCCCCGCAGCCCGGTCCCGAATCCACCGCGGAAGCCCCCGCGGGCCGCTCCCGCTCCTCCCGCAGCACCGGCGTCGTCCGCCATTTGCTGGAACAAAGCGGGACGTCAGGCGGGCGGCGGCGGGCGCGGATGGGGCCGGATGCCGGGCCGGGCCGCGCGGTGCCGCCGCCGCCGCTCCCGCCATACTTACGTGATCCCTCAGCGTAGAAGGCCGCGTCGCGGCACCGCGCGCTATTTATACTACGCGGGCATCTCGCGAGAGCCGCGCCAGCGGGCCCTGCGCGCTGGATGAGAAATAACCTCGGGCTGGAACGGGCAGGTTGTTGCTATTTATACAGAGCGCGGGGCGGGCGCGGCGCCCGGGGTGTTGGGGTGCGCACGGGCGGAGCGCGCAGAGCGCGGCGCGGCGGTCACAGGTGAGGAGCTGCGGTGAGGAGCTGCGGGTGCGGGCGGGATTGAGGGCACTGCCGCGCCTTCCTCCTCCCCTGCGCCTTCAGCCGCTGTAAAACTGCTGGGAAATGGGAATGGTGCTGCCCGAGCCGCAGCGGGGGCAGGGAGCGGCCCGGGAAGGTGCTCCGGGGGCCGCGGTAGCGCCCGGCGCGGTCTGAAAATCATTCGGGGTCTGCGGTGGCCCCGGGTGAGATAACGGCGCCCAGAGCATCGGGAACATTAAGCTTATTGCCCACGGCTGTGTGTGGGGAATGAAACCCATGTTCCCATAAGCGCCGTGCCCGGCGGTACCGGCACCGCGGGGCTGTGGGGCGGTGTCTGAGCTTTGTTCCCTGATCCAGGTGCCGTTCCTGGGCGCTGGGAGCGCGGCCCCGCCACGGGCTGTGCTGGGCTGACCCTTCAGGCGATCCCGTCCCCGGAGGAGCTGTGAAGAGCACGGAGCTGCCGTGATGGACGGGAGTCACAGCTGGGAACGATTCGGTTTTGTATTTTGATGTGCAATAAAAGATGAAATTATTAAAAGATGGAGCGTCTCTCTTCATTCTAATTGTCCAAAGTTCTACTTTACTCTGTGTTCAGGGAGTTCAACTTTACGCTCCTTGGGGCGGGGAGGGGCGGTTGTGCTGGAGAACGCTCCGGATGGCGGAGAAATGCAGCGCAGGGGCCGGGCTGTGGCCGCTGTCCCGGGGGAACCGGGAACTCTTATCCCGTTCTGCGGGGCCGGGCCGTGGCCGCTGTCCCGGAGGAACCGGGAATTCTCATCCCGTTCTGCGGGGCCGGGCCGTGGCCGCTGTCCCGGAGGAACCGGGAATTCTCATCCCGTTCTCCGGAGCGCTCCCCACGTGGTGCCGGTGGCGCCCTCGCTTACGTCACTGAGGGACCGGAAGTGTTCCCTCACTTCCCGGAAGTGGTGACCGGAAGCACGTGGGCCGCGGCCATGGCGGACACGGACCCGGCCGCCGCCGCTCCCGTGCGCTTCAAGAGCAAGTGAGGGACCCGCGGGACCGGGCTGGGGCTGCGAGGGCGAGCGAGGGACCGGGCTGGGCTGGGCAGGGACCGGAGCCCCCGGGCCGCCGCCGCTCCGCTTTAACGGAGCCTCCCGGCGCGTCTCTTTCCCTTCCAGCTACGCCGCGACGCGGAAGATCGAGCCGTTCTACAAAGGAGGGCGAATCCAGGTAACCCCGGCTCTGGAGGGACATCCCGGCATGTCGCGCCTCCCGGCTCTAACGTTCCCCATCCCTTTCTCCAGATCAGCCGCGATGGGAAGTTCATGTTCTGCCCCTGCGGGAGCAAAGTCAACGTGATCGATGTGGAAACGGGAGCGCTGCTGCACAGCCTCCAGCAGGTGACCGGGATCCGCCTCTCCTGGGCGGCTTGCGAGGAGCCCGGGGGGGTTTCTCTCTGTGGATACAAAGCTCCCGGGAGTGAGGAGCGCAGGGAAGCGGGAATGAACCAAACACAGGGTTGGGGTGATCAGCAGAGCCCTTGGAGAAGGGAGCTCGGAGATCCCTGCAGGGATGGCTCAGCTGTGGCATTTCCCCTCTGTTTTCCCAGGATGAGGAAGAGGATGTCACAGCCTTCGTGCTGAGCCCTGATGACGAGGTGGGTTTGTGCTGGGGGCTGTGAGCAGCCTGGGACGGGCTGAGCCAGGAATGGGGGGAATTTTGGGGTGCGTATGTAGGGCCAGGGCTTGGACTCGATGATCCTTGTGCATCCCTTCCAGCTGGGGATGTTCCATGGGTCTGTTCCATGCTCTGTGTGCTTCCTGAGGTCCCCTGGGAGCTGTGGCTCACACTCAGGGCTGTGGCTCACACTCACACCTGTGGCTCACACTCAGAGCCCTGGCTCACACTGAGCACTGCCCAGAGCCTGAGCTCCCCAGCAGCTCCCTGTGCTGTGTGGCACTGACAGGAGCCCAAACCCATCCTGTGCTCAGGCTGTCCCTTGTCCCCATGTCCCCAGGTGCTGGTGACAGGCAGCAGGGCGCTGTTACCCGTGTCTCAGGCTGTCCCCATGTCCCCAGGTGCTGGTGACAGGCAGCAGGGCGCTGTTACCCGTGTCTCAGGCTGTCCCCATGTCCCCAGGCAGTGCTGTTATCTGTGTCTCAGGCTGTCCCCATGTCCCCAGGTGCTGGTGACAGGCAGCAGGGCGCTGTTACCCGTGTCTCAGGCTGTCCCCATGTCCCCAGGCAGTGCTGTTATCTGTGTCTCAGGCTGTCCCCATGTCCCCAGGTGCTGGTGACAGGCAGCAGGGCGCTGTTACCCGTGTCTCAGGCTGTCCCCATGTCCCCAGGCAGTGCTGTTATCTGTGTCTCAGGCTGTCCCCATGTCCCCAGGTGCTGGTGACAGGCAGCAGGGCGCTGTTACCCGTGTCTCAGGCTGTTCCCATGTCCCCAGG